AACAGGTGGAGTTAGGGGTGGAGATTGAGGCGTGGTCTCTATTTTGAGGAATATTATGGTGGGAATTCCTGTTTGCCTTCATCCTGGGGGCTGTATTTTACTCCTCATCCTCGCCTGACCTCGGGGACCTTTCGTTCTTTCTATTGTTTTCATGTTCTGATCACTCAGCCTTCAAGAAAGTCTTGGCTTGGGGCCTGTAACACCTATTGAGATGTCACCTTGGCTTCTCTGGATGAGATTTATGGGCGCTGGGCCCCTTGCCCAGCGTTTATTGTGGTTCCTTCAAGGTCCGATGCTCTTCAGCACAGGACAGAATCTTCTTGTGCGAAATGCAGCTTACAAAATATGGTTTAAGGCAGATTAAAAGTGTACAGGGGGGTGTACAGGGGGGTAGGGGCCCTTATGGGCCCACAGTCCCAATTAACCCTTCCTGCTTCAGTTACTATTTAGTGCACTTTTTGCTATTAAACAAATGATAGAGCTTCTTCTTTTTCTCTTTCTTAAAAAATGAGAAACACTTACAGATAATTTCCAATTAAGTAAAATTCCTAAAAATGGGTCCCCCCAGGGTTTGGAATTGGGCAGTTCCAGCCTTCTGTCCATCCCATCTCCATCATCCTCTTTTTTTGTCCATCCTGTCTCTGTCATCCTCTCCTTTTTCCATCTCATCTCCATCGAAAGAGAGCAAGAGCCATCTCCACCCTTCTCTCCACTAGTGGGGAGGGTAATTTCTCAGTTCCAGGTATTAACACTGAAAAAAATCACACAACTGTCTTCATCGCCCCTTGACCTCCATAAGAGCAATGCCTGTTAAACACAAACCTCCCATTCTTTTGGGGAAAGGCGAGCATCGGGCTTTTTTGGTTTTGCTTTATTTGGCTGGTTTTGTGGGGTTTTCCCCTCGGAAGCCCCTGAGGGTGCCTGAGGGGGCACACGAGGGATGCTCAGGGGGGTGGGTGAGAGTGAAGGGTTGTCCTGTGGGGGAGGACCTGCCCTGGGGGTTGTGGGGAGCAGGTTTGGGGTTCCCCAGGGCTCAGGGGAGCGGCCAGCGGTGCCTCTGCCCCGTGCCAGGTGTTATTTGGTGTCCAAAGGGGGTTGTTACCCCAAGGAGCACAAAGGGGGCTGTTACCCTGGAGGGTGGACCAAGAGACAGGGCTTTATACCTTTCTCCTGCAGGACTCTAAGCAGGAGTTTTAGCCATCCTAATTCCCAAAGTTTAGGAATGGGCTTCCTCAAACCATCTTGTCAGTCCCTGCCATGAAATTCCAGGGTCTGTCAGCAGTGCGTGTGAAATGTGCCCAAAGGTTGACAACCCGAGCCCTAAGGAACAAGAAGTGAGGTGGTCTTCATTCTCTTCCCTTCATGTGAAGCTCATCCCCTGTGAAATAGTGTGGCAGGGTCAGGGGCCTGTTAGCAGCCTGGCCTTCCAGCAGGGAGCAGATGGGAAGGGGAATGGCCTGGTCTTGCCTGGGAGGGGCAGCTCAACCTGTTTGGTTTGGGTTTGTAGCCCATGCAGAGCACGGGCCGGCCTGTTCTCCAAAATCTTGGCCTGCTGGCACTTTCCTTGACACTGGTGGTAGATTAGGGAAAGAGGTGGTGGATTAGGGAAAGAGGATTGAGATTGTACAGCTGTCAAAAATTATAGCAAGGTTCGGGTTGGAAGTGAACTTAAAGCTCTTTCAGTTCAGTAACACCTTCCACTAGGCAAGGTTTCCCCAAGTCCCATCCAACCTTGCCTTGAACACTTGAGGGATGGGGCAGATGCAGCTTCTTTGGGCAAACTAGGCCCGGGCTTTCCTGATTGTATCCCTGACAGGATGCATTTCTTTTTTCAGGTGAACCACTGGAGGTCACTCATGTACTAACAAACAGTGCAGTGCTGCAGGGAAAAAGGGAATATAAACTATCCAAGAAATGAACTCTGCTTGACTTCACGATGACCTTCAAATGGAAGTGAGTTAGGAAATAGACTGCACAGATATTTCTCAGATTTACAGTAAACTATATTAAAACTAGAAAGCAAACTCATGATTTTAATTTTTCTGGAAACAGACAACAAAAAGAAAAACCCCATAAAATTATCAAGCCATGTTTGCTTTGACGTAGCTACAAAAAGAATGGAAATGCAGCACTTCTCTTTGCCAAAAAAGGTAGAAATGGGAAAAGATAATCACCTCTAAAAATGCTGAATGGGGTCACCTGAGTGTGACAAGAAATTGCAAACAAAATGGCATGTAAGATAGGAGAGAAAAGGTTGCATGGGAATTTTCTGTGGCATTTCTGAGAGGAGAAAAAATTGCATGAAAGAAGTAATAAGCTCTGTTTCATTACTTGTTTCTATATTTCTGCTGTCAGTTAATCTATTTGAGCACAAACACTCACATTTTTTGATGTATCTTTGCTGAAATTGTGAGTAGTAGAGAAAGGGAAATTGTTAAAATGTTTTCCTCTTTCCCCTAAACCAAAAGGGTTAATCTTGATTTCCTGCTCTGAGGTGAAAAGTTAGGAAATGGAAGTCTTATTTCTTGGATATCAGTGCAACATCTCATCCCAAATGGGACAAAATTGAGGCACTGTTTATATATTATGAGGAAATAAAAGGTTCCAAGCAACTTCAGTCACCTGCAGAAGAGGAGAAAAGATCTGTCTGTGGCATTTAGTGTTTGTGCAACACTTTGTGCAGCTCTACCTTGCTCTGCACCTTTTACTTCCTATTTATATATTGCCTTTGGATTCTGGAAGCTTTTAGGGGGGTTCTGCAGCTGCTCTGTCCCCCTGGCTGCTTCCTGAGTGATGGGTTCTTGATTTGAAAGAAGCTGCTCAGTAATTCTGTGCCTGCTGAGAGGGAGTGCTGGACTGGGCTTTGTCTGCTGTGTCGGGATGCTTCTTCCACTGGCAGGTGGGAAGTAGAGCAAGCAGAGCTTTTGGTCTTGTGTGTGGGTGTTGGGGAGTGGCACAAACTCTCCTCCCAGCAGTGGGGATAGGGTCACAGCGACCCTGAGGAGCCCCTGGGCCTGATCTGCAGCAGCAGGGAAGAAAGTTCCCTTGGCATGCGAGTGATGACAGCCCAGGCAGGGCTTGGGCAGGGGATGTTGTGTCTGAGCCTCTCCCGGGGCTGTGGGTGATGGGCTCCTTCCCTGGGGGAGCTGGGCAGTGGTGCAGGGGCTGTGCCCAAGGGCTTGCAGAAGGAGCTGTGCAGATTGGTCACTCATGGAGAGGAGAAATGGGATAGCAGCAGTGTCTGCACAGAGGGGAGAGCCTGAGCCTTCTTGGCCTCCCAGCCATGACGATGGCCACACTGATGGATTCTTCTTTAAGGAACCAAGAGACACCTCAAGAACAACTGCCCTTGTCCTTGTGGAGGAATTCACCTGGCCCAGTGTCAACTGGCAACCCCACACAACTGAGTGAAAAGGGCCACAGAAGACTCCCAAAACACCTGGGGGAAAATTTCTCCCTACAGGGGTTCAGGGAGCCCATTCACAGAGGTGTCCTCTGGGATTTGGTGCTCCTTCCCAGAGAGGTTCTCATGGGTCAAGTGCCCACTGGGGACTGTCTTGGCCACAGCCACGGTGCAGCCATCGAGTTTCCCATCTCTGGGGCTTTGTCTGCTCCCGTCTTGTTCCTGAGATGGACCCGGCACAGGCGAGCACAGCTGGAAAACCAGCAGCCTTTATTCATGTGTCCAGGGCGAAGCTGCTGTCCCCAAACAGGTTCTTTCACTCACACTGCAAGAAGCCAATCTCCACACACAGACTCGAGGTATTTTCTTTCTTTCTTTATTTATTTCAGTTCTGCACAGAAATGGGGTGTTGCCTGGCAAACCCACAGGGCCACAACAACACCCATCCAAAGTTTTCACTATTTATACATTTGATCAGACAAAACTTTAATCTACATTGGCTACAAATCCTATGTTTCTCTCATTAAATTACTAGAGTAAATATTTTCCTAATAACTAAATAACTATTAAATATAATTCTCAATACAATTCCTAAAAAAACCCCTATATTATTCCTTACTAGTTTACCCTAAAACACTATATACTAAAGAATTAAGAAAAAGTATTAATCTAATGGAAAATCCTACAAACAAGGAATTAATCCTTGTAAGGCCCGGCCATGCAGGCCAGCCCGTGCTGCTCCCTCAGGGAGCTGTGCAGGCTCCAGCTCAGCTCTCATCTCCGGGGCCCGGCCTGCTGCTGGCAGTGGGCACTAATCCTCTGGCCGTCCCGCCAGGCAGGGGATCCGCAACAGCCGGCGCAGAGCCCGCAGCACCCGCCTGCAGCGGGAGGGACGTTTCCTGGGCACCTGGCTCTCTGCCCCTGCCTCTGGCACCTGCTCTGCGCAGCCAAGAGAAGATGCTGCCACTGCCCACTCCTGGGGAGTAGGCTGAAGCTTCTGCAGGAGCTCTGGGTACTTGGGGTTGACCCAGATGGTGCAGATGGTGACGTATTTGCACACTTTCTCCTCCTTGGCCAAGGACCACTGCTCAGGCTGTGGCCCTGGCAGCTCTGCCCCTGACATTGCCCCCTCCGAACAGGGAGGTGAGGGGCTGGGGGGGACGCAGGGGCTGTGTGGGGCAGGGCCTGGGCTCTCTGCCCCTGCTTCCTCTTCCCACCAGGCAGGAGAAGCTGCTGCCTGTGCTGACCGCTGGGGCGCAGGCTGAGCCTTCTGCAGGAGCTCTGGGTACTTGGGGTTGACCCAGATGGTGTGGATGCTGACATCTTCCCAGTTCTCCTCCCACAGCTCTTGGTCAGTGTTGTCACTCTCTTGGGACAGCTCTGGGTCTCCTCTCACTCTGACTTCCCCTGCAGACATCTCTGGCTCTGCTCTCACTTCCCCTTCGGACACCTCTTGCTCCACGCAGCCTTCCCACTGCCAAAGCAATTGGGCACTGTCATCTTCTGCCTGGGACAGCTCTTCATCTCTCTTGCCTTCCCACTGGCTCGGCTCTTGGACTTCCACATCTCCCCCTGGGGACACTTCTTGCACTGTCTCCCCTTCCAATTGGGACAGCTCTTGGATTCTTTGGTTGTTGCATTGGCGCAGCTCTTGGACCATTTCATCTCCCCATTGCAACACTTCTTGGGACCTCTCGAATTCCCAGTTGAACAACTCATAGACTCTTTCCTCTCTCTGTCCTTGCAGTGCTTCTTGGTATTTCTCAAATCCCCAGGGGGACAGTTCCTCACAGTCCGCATCTTCCCATTGGGACAGCTCTTGGATTTCCTCGGCTTCCCACTGGGACAGGACATTGTCAGGTTGGGAGTCGGGGTTTGCCCTCTCCTTGAGCATCTCCATCGCCCTCTGCCTCAGAGGCTCTCAGGGAGCTGCTGCCTCCTGAGCGAGGTGCTCTCCAAAAAGAGGGCACTCCAGGGCTCTGCGTCCCTTTATTGACCCCACCCGCGGTGTCACAATGGCCTCTGGGCACAACGCGGCCCCCGCGTCACAAAGGGCCACCCCCGGCACCCCAACAATCATGGAACCCACTGGAACCGTCTGGAACCACTTGGATCCATCTGGAACAGGCCTTGCTTGGCCATGGGCAGCCCCCAGACCTGCAGGCCCTGGCGTGCCCCGACCCCTGCGAGGCTTTGGACACAGTCCCACACGACATCCTGATCTCCACACGGGAGAGCCCTGGCTTTGGAGGGTGGGCAACTCAGGGCATGACCAATTGGATACATGGATGTAGACAGGGAGTTGTGGCCAGTGGTCCTTGTCCAGGGAGAGGTCGAGGACGAGGGTGTCCCTCAGGGCTCGGCCTTGGGACCAGGGCTCTGCAATGTCTGTACCACTGACACAGACAGTGGGGTCGAGCTCACCCTCAGCACCTTGGCAGGTGACAGGAGGCTGAGCAGGCCAGGGGAAACAATAAAGGATGGGGCCATCCAGATGGGCCTGCACAAGCTTCACAAGTGGCACCACGAGAACCTCCTGAGGTTCAGTGAGCCCAAGTGAACGGGGCTGCACCTGGCTCGGGGCAGCCCCAGAAACACCAAATCATCCCAGCTGGAAAAGACCAGCAAGCTCATCCAGTCACACCGTCACCCCACTACCACCATCATCCCCCCTAAACCATGTCCCTCAGTGCCACATCCAGCCCCAGGGCTGGCACAGGGCACCAACTCAGAACTGCTCTCTGGGCAGATGCACAACACCCTGACATGCTGAGGGAAACTGAAACACGCTGGGACACCTCACACAACTGGAGCTCTCCAGTCAAGGCTCATTGGCAAATGAAGGGCTCATTACGAAAGACAGAGAGGGAAAATTTGGAGGAGAATTTTCCTTGAGGTGAGGAAGCAGCTTGAACACATGGAACTCTTCTGTATTATGGGTAATGTCTTGGCTGACAGCCTGTGGGTCACCAAGGATTTGAGTGGGGTACAGTGTTGGGAATTTGGGACAGAGACACTTCAACACCCTCCTCACTTGACAGTGTCCTTGAAACAGCTTAAGGAAGGCACACGGGAATGACCCAACATGAAACTGAGATGCAACACACCAAAAACCAAACCAAACCAAAGCAACCAGAAACACACCAAACAAACAAACAGTGTTTTAGTATACAGAAAGCAGAAGGAAAAACAGACTAGAAAGGAAGAATTTGGAAACACTGCACCAGTGTGTGAGGATAAAAAGAATTCAGCTTGAGTTTCAAGTGGCAAGGGGAGATTTAGGGCAACAAGAAGAGCTTCTACAGATATATCAACAGCAGCCATGTAAACAAGGAAAATGAAGACCTGGAATGTTGGTTGCGGGACAGGGAAAACAGAGAGAGCTGGGAAGCCCAGAGGCAGGTTCAACAGAGAACAACTATCAGTAGTGGAAGATTGTGAGGACACAGAATCCAGAAAAAATCTGCACTGAATTCTACAACTGACCACCTGCTGCATGGAATAAGGGAAGTTCTTGTGAGACTCTGAGATTATAAAAGATCGAAAGATGCACATTCCAGACACAACCATAACAGAAATGTTTATTCAACACAACTCACTCTCCTACAAATAACAATATTGCAGGTTTACCACACTAAATTATCTACCTTAAAATATCCTTTTTTCTGGATCTTTGCCTTTAGTTGTATCCAGTTACTCTGTTTCTTCTCATTCAGCCTCCTAAATCAGTATTTCCTGTGGAGGTGGAGGAAAGACAGGGCATAGAGATGCATTATAAAACACTGGAAAGTAACCCCAGTAACCTAAAGCAGAACTCCAGGGCTCTGCTCTCTACCTCAGTCCCCCTTACCCACTGCCTTTCAATGCCAACACTTGAATTTAACTGTTTTACATTGTTTGTCAGCTGGCAGACAGGCTCAGTACACACACACTGACTGCCAGCCAGCCCATATGTAACTCTGGAATAGCCAAAGGATGTCTCCTACTTAGATTATATCATAAGGAATGTGGAGCAAGAAGGATGGAATTTCTGTATCGACCTAAAATGATGGTAACTGGGCAGGGAATGCAAGGCAGCAAGAAAACAGCTTTTGTTACATCTGCTCTTTACAGTATCCATATTTTCTTCATATCATTTCCTCTCCCTGTAACTTCATCTTGCTAAACACAAAGACAAGGGGAACAATTATGTTGCCTAAATAATTAGGGATGGAGACCTATGCTGAAAAATGGATAAAATCATCCATCTCCTTGATTCTGGATATCTGGCACATTGCTGTTATTTTCAGGCATTGGTATCAGCCTCTGTGCTGTATCTGACAGATACCTGGGTTCATTTGTTCTTAAAAAGAGCCCCTTCAAAAATCAGTGGGAAACCCAGAACTGCCTTTTTATGGTAGGCCAGAAAAAAATCATTAGAATGAAGCTCAATGCAAATTATTATTTGAGCTCAATGGTCTTTGAGACAAACCAGGCTCAGTGCATTTTGCCAAATCCAAAGCACAGCTACGCAGGAAACCTGCTGAGATTCCTGCTGGATCTGATCCAAGCCCAGGGATCCTGTAAGATGTCAGTCCCACACACCAGGTCAGCCAGCTGGCTGCTCTGCCCTGAAGCAGGAGAGCACCTTCAGAGACAAACACTGAGCACAAATAAACTATGAAAACTGCAAGAGCTGATCTAAATGTTTTGTGTACACCCCTAGGCATTCTCAGATGGTTCAACAGACTTTCTGACCCCCATGGAGAGTGCTTTGCTTCGGTTTATTGCAAAATGGACTGATTACAAACGGCTAAAATTACCTATGATGTTTTTAGACATCATATAATTTACATGCAAGCTTGCAAATTTTAACACTTAATAAAATAAAATCAACACAATTGGGTGGAGGCCTATAAGCTAAATATGATTACACACAGATGCATCTTTCTGTTGCTTCTTAGTAACTGTGAATTTAAAACAGGCTTCTGAACAGCCGAGGAGAAAACCTGATCATCTGAATTTTTAGGAGAAACAAAATCAACCAGCGACTGATCAAACCGTAATATATGCAATACATAAAATTTGTTTCTTCAGAGTTATTTTTCCTGCTTTTTACTTCACTTGAGAGAATAGGAATACACAGTTTTCTTCATGAGAGGAAAGTGGAGCGCTCACAACTTCCTGAACTTTGCCCAGAGTCTGACATCATCTCTCCCTTTGTATAAGAAACTCTCAGTTTGGAAATTTATTCTCCTACAAATTAAGCTCTGCAAGTGCTGTCAACTGTACATGCAGAAGTGACACAGAAGTGACACAGAAGTGTCACTTTAAATTTGTGCTGTCGCAGTAAATGATCTTGACTACTCATAGTTTACCTCTCTAGAGGACTGTCCCTCTTATCAAAGGCAGAGATTCCCGTGGTCTCTCAGCAGCAGCAGGACTTCACCTGATTGACCTGCATCATTTCAAACCCTGACTGCTAATTAATCAATGAGCACACGTGTCCCAGTCCTCACCTTGATCCTCCCGAACTTCGTTTGCTTCCTCCTCTTGTCTTCCCTCACCTTCCTCTCCTGCATCCCTTGCTGGGCTCAAACCTCCACCGGGTTCATGAGCAGAGGGCTCAACAACCCTGCCCTCAGCAGACTCCCCAGGGACTGAAATATGAGAAATTAGAAATACCAAAGAAAACCAACATTACAAATGTGCACTCAGCCTTCGCTTTCACGCAGCAGCTACAAACTCCTACTGAAGGCTGCAGTTGTTACTCACATGAGGAATGCCACACAATCTTCTCCAAGTGTTTATGATCAAGCTTGTATGGTACAGACTAAAACAACTCACAGTTGTATCTCCTTATGCTACATCAGGTGAAACAGATATATATATATATATATATTGTGCAGTTTAGGAACAGACTTGGCAGTTCTAAACATCCACTACACGGAGAATCATAGGAAAGACAAACTGAAACACAGCAAAACACAAAAAACCTCCCACACCACTTGATATTAAACCCAAAAAACCACGGTCACAATAGTCAGAGCATGGAGTTTCCAGATGTCCAGCAGAACAAACCTTCAGCTGGCGGCATTTCCTCCTGTCCAGTTGCTGCTGGAGACGGGGGCTTTTCATCCTGGGGGGTCCAGGGTGTTAATTTGGTAATTTCTATTGCTTTCCATGTTGGTTCAACAGGTTCGACAGGCAATGGGACTTCCTCCTCTTCTTCTTCCCCTTTTTCCTGGAAGAGAACTCAAGAAATCCACTTCTCATCCTGTGAGCATTAGGGGAGTAACTAACTAAGGTGATGGTTTTGTGTCCTAAAACCTCCTTATCTGGGTTGAAAATGGCAACACCTTTTAAAGTAATTTTTACAGGTGGAGGAACTCCAGTGGCCACAAATCTTGGACAAGAACTACACTTTCAACCTTGATGAAGACAGTTGACCATTACCAATGATTTAGTTTGCCTTCTTTAAGGCAAAATTTTGTCCCTCCCTTAAGCAGAATGGCTGGGAGGGGAGGATCAACTATGGTTCCTCTTCAGTGCCTGCAAAGGAGACCTGATGCTCTGTCTGGTAGAGGCTGCCCTGTCTGTCTCACACAGGAACAGAAACAAGAACAGCTGTTTCTGCCTCAATCTTTGCCCTCTGAAAGGATCTAGGAAGGAATAAAGTACTGCACAAAGCTTATGGATTTGATATTCGAAGACAATTTTTTTTTAATTCAAAAAAAATCATGCTTGATTTTTTCCAAATATGAAAAGTCTTATAATGGAATCATTATCTGTATTCCTATTTAATTTATTTGATTTTTTTTTTTAAATGCACTTTGTTCTGCAACTACTTCACCTAAAGCCAAGGGGCAAAATTTGATCTTACTTTAGTGGCAGCACTGTCCCTTGCTTTACACATCTAATCCAACAATTCCCAACTGAATTGAGAATACCACATACACATAATTTTGGATACTCCTGTGAATCTGATGCTTAATTTGGGGATCTCTTGCTTTTGGCCAAAGAAGGCAAACTCTTAAGATAAAATAGGG